ATTTTTTCAAATATTTAAAATATAAAACCATCCTGAGCCTGCAGACCCTCTAAATTGAACTCTCTTACTTTTCATCCCCCGCAAACTCGCTGCATGTTCAGCTAATAACTGAACAAAAAGGCTTGAATCAATGTTCACTGAATTGAACCAAATGGGGATTTGAACAAACACAGTAATTTTTTTTTTATCAGCAAAAACTTCTTGGAATTTGAATCTTATAGAAACCCCGTTTGGAACAAATGGTGTTTTATTGGTAAGATTTTATGTTGCGGGTTCAAATGGGTAACATTTGTGAGTTTTGATGAATATAAAAATCAAGGGAAGGGCCAGATGGCTGTGTCGAGACGCTCTTTGATTAAACTGTCCAGATGCTTTGAACGAGGAGAGAGAAGGAAGTTTCTGTTCCAAAGCAGAGCCACTGACGTATGCAGGGTGATTTATATCCTTATTCATAAATATCAAAGTCAGACAAGGAGCATAAAAAACTTCCAGTAAATGACAAATACATCATCATGACCGAGCGTGTCACAAGGTATCTTTAAACAACGGGATCTCGGGGCTGTGACAGGAGCAGGTTACAGCTATTCTCCCACAGGTTTGTGGGAGTGGGGAAAGCAAACCTGAATTTTTAAAAGAGCCGTGCAGGAGACAAACTTCCTAACCACGGGCATATCTGCAAAAAAAAAAAAATGCAAACTGAGGGAGCTGCCGGAGAAGCCTGATTCCCAGGTGGGCACGAAGGGAAAGCAAGAGGAAGCCCAACGTAACACGCAGATGGTCTCCATGGGAGAGCGCTGACTGTGTTTTTGAGCATCTGAATGTTTATATTTTATTACAGCTTTTTAAACATTTAGAATGTTCAGATTTTAAAGATGCGGTAAAATGCATGTAACATAAAATTGCCATTCTTACCATTTTTAGTGTAGAATTCGGTGACGTTAAGTACATTCGGATTGCTGTACTTTTTCATCATCCCAAATATTAAGAAATAGCTCCCTAGTCCTCCCTTTCCAACCCCTGACAACCACCACCCTACTTCCTGTCTCCACGAACTTGACTATTCTGGGTAGCTCGCCTGAGTGGAATAATTCAGTATTTGTCCTTTCACGACTGGCTAACGTTAAGTAACTCAGCATGCTTCCAAGGGTCAGCCATGTAGTTGTATCTATCAGAACTGCCCTCCTTTTGAGCCTCACTAACATTCCAGTGGGTGTGTGGGCCACACTGTTTACCCATCACCCATCAGTGGACATTTTTCTATCTTATGGCTACAGTGAGTAAGTGCTGCTATGAACATTGATGTTCAAGGATACGAGTCCCTCCTTTCAGTTCTTCGGGGCATATATTGAGGAGCGGAATTGCTAGATCTTACAGTATTTCGGTGTTGAATTTTTCTGAGGACTCTCCATACTGTTTTCCACAGTGGCAGTGCCTACCAGCAGTGCCCACGGTGTTCCAACTTCCCCACATCCTCACCAACAACTGCGTGTTGTCTTTGTTCGCTTGTTTCATACAATAACCATCCTCATGGGTGTGACTCGGGAAACATTTTTAATGAGGTTTGAGTTGAATATGTTTAGTCACGGAAGCACCTTCACATCACTTTTCCACAGATCAGTCTGAAAGCTGGGCTGGGTTTCTTACCCCCAGCCCCAGAGTGTGTGATTTAGGAGTAAACCTTCCTTGGCTCGGCTCCAAGAAGTGAGAGGGGGACTGACTTCAAGCTGGAGGTGAGACCAGGAGAGGAAGCCATATCTCCCCTCACGGACTGGTGTTCAGAGCCCACGAGGGAACCAGCCACCCGCAGTTCACATAAGAAATCATCCCAGCCCCGCCTTTCCCTCTCTCTGAGCAAAACTGGGTTCTGAAGACAAGAAGAGGGGGGCGGGCGGGTTGCAGAGTTTGTGAGGTCACACACTCACCTTGGGGGTCACCCTTCGTCTCTCTCACGCACTTGCTTTGTTGTTATACTTTTCACTCTTTTCCTTTTTTACATAAGAAACATAAATACTTTCCTGTCCTAAGTAATTTCTTCAACACAGAAGTGTGTGGAGTAAAACTATGGAGGTGCCCTTCACTGCCCTCCCAGAAGGAGACTGTGTCTCTCTCAGCCTGTCCCCTCCGGCCTTCGCGCATGTGCACATGGTCACACACACGGGCGCTTTGCTTCCGTTTTCACACAGGGGGGAGCTTGTCCTGCTCTGAGCACGTCCCACTCTGCTCTCAGTACTCACAGACCCACTTCATTTACTGTAACGACTGAGTGCTACCCACTGGGTGGGGAGCCCATTCCTCTGCAGCCCCGCGAGCTTCTCAGTCCCCTGCCTTCTCCCCGGCTGGTTGTAAACATCCTGAGGGCACAGCTTTCCATCTCCAAACACTTGATACACATTTTCCTCCAAAGTGAAAGCCAATGCATGGTTACTGACCGGAAGAGTCTCTCCCCGTCCCACATGGATGCTGTCTCAGCGCTCCCGACCGCCGGGGCGGAGCCCTTCTCCGAGTGAGGAGGGACCCGGCACCACAGTCCATCAGTGTGTCGCTCTTTTGTCTATCGACACCGTGACGCGTCAATCTGCTAGCCAGGGCGAGCTGCCCAGTTCCCACTGTTCCCTTGGCAATGTTTTCTAGGTTCGGGGTGGTGCCCGGCCTCAGTCCCCCAGAACAAGTAGCCCGAGAGCTTGGGATACTCGCAGTCACGCATTATCTCATTGTCTGGCCCACCTGGGAGCACGGGGCCGCGATAGTAGCAGCCTGTGCGTCCTGCAGAACCATTGTAAGGGCTACTAATGGTGTTCACAGACCGCGGAGCTGGAACAGCCACCCGTATGCCTACACACACGCTATTAATAACCCTCTCCAGGCTTCCTGAGGCAGCCAAACCTACATAAAACAGAGTACAACTGAGCCCCTTCTAGACCCTCTGGTGGGGAGAAATTACTTCAATATGCGGCTATCACCTCAAAACAGACAACCAGACCCGGGGCAGTCACCCTGTAAGCAGATGCCGGTGTTCGGACCTGTTGATAGCGTCAATGAATGTCATCTCGGGCCTTGGTGGGCTCCTTGTACTTCTGAATCTGCCCGGCTTCCTGCAGTAGCCGGAAAATTCCCATTGTGCGGGAGCAAGGAAGGCAACACCTGCCTCCCAGATGCGCTCTCTGCGCTGGGGACGACTTCAAATTGTGGACCTCGACAGGCAACCTGGGTCGATGAAAGGGAATCAAGCGGTAGGAATGAGACTGGAATTAGTTTGTGTCCCTCGGCTGATAACACGCAAGGGGAAACATTCTGCTCAATCGATTTAATTAATATTGATTATGGAAACTCTGGTCCCTGCCACTAAGGAGTCTACAGGCGAATTGGGGAAGTAGGGTGCCCACCTATGAAAAATTGGACGATATGCAATGAAGCCCAGGTCAATGCCTATTGCGGGTTGAGAGGGAAAATCCTTTGCGGTAGGAGGCTGTGCTTCCGAACAGGGGTGGTCATCACCTTGATCCAGGCCGAAGGGACCGGGCCTGGCAGAGCTGCTCGCTGGTGGGAGACACGAGCAGTTCTCTCTGGGGACCAGCCTGCACCTCTTTGCTGTCCTGCAGGCCTGTATAATGTCTTCCTCTGTCGGGGTCGGAAGGTTCCCAGTCTGCCTCCCTCTGTTTCTACCACCCTCCTTACCTTGAAAGAGCCATGACCTTTAACGACCTTGGTTACCCTTCTTCCTACCCCCTAAACCCACTACCTCACCCTATTTTTGTTGTTTTGTTGTTTTATTTCAGAGAGAGGAAGGGAGAGGGAGAGAGGGGCAGAAGCAGCAATGATGAGAGAGAATCTTCAATCAGCTGCCTCCTGCACGCCCCACACTGGGGATCCAGCCCCCAAACCTGGCATGTGCCCTGACAGGTATCGAACCCTGACCTCCTGGTTCATGGGTTCATGCTCAACCACTGAGCCACACTGGCCAGCCCTCACCCTGCTTTGTTGAGAAAATATTGCTGGCAGATGAAAAAGATAGAATCGGGAGAAAACCTAGAATACCTCCTGTCAACAACAGTTAAGAGGGTTTATATAAATAGGTCGGAGCACACCTCAAGGGGCCGGCGGGGGTTTCCCGTGCAGGCTCCACCCCATGCGCTGGCCCTGGGGTCCCCAGCACCCCTGTGGGTGTTCCTGTAGACAAATACTTTTTCAGGCCAACCTTGGGTTTTATATATATACTAGAGGCCCGGTGCACAAAATTTGTGCAAGGAGCTCGGCCCTCGCAGCCCTGGCTGCCCCGGCTGGCCCTCGCAGCCCCGGCCGGCCCTTGTAGCCCCAGCTTCATCCAGAAGGTCATCTGGACAGCTGTTCGGTCTAATTAGCATATTAGCTCTTTATTATATAGGATACTAG